TTTGTATGGCGAGAACTTTGAGTTATTCTTTGATCACAAGAGCCTCAAGTACCTCTACACTCAGAAGGAGTTGAATATGAGGCATCGGAGGTGGATGAAGAAGATGAATGATTTTAATATGATCCTTTAGTATCATCCTGGGAAGGCAAATGTGGTAGCAAATGCCTTGAGTCCAAAACCGAGAGGATTAGTTGCCTTTATGATGATTCAGGAGTGGATGATGTTAGAGGCATTGGCAGAGTTCTCTATTATGCCGAGTTCTTAGAGTACAGGGGCTCTTCTTTGTAGTTTGACTGTACAACCTACTTTGATCAGCCGGATAATCCATGCTCAGACTTAGGATGATAGGTTGCAGACCAAAGCAAGTGACGCTGTTAATAATGAAGGTAATGTCGATTGGACGTATGGAGCTTATAGTGGTATGAGATTTCGAGGTAGGCTATGTGTTTCAGACTTAGCAGACCTCAAGAGAGAGATTTTAGAAGAGGTACACCACTCTAGGTACACAATGCACCTAGGTGGCACTAAAATGCATCATGATCTTAAGAGGCAGTTCTAGTGGGAAGGCATGAAACGTGATGTGGCAGAGTTTGTATCTAGATGTCTCACTTGTCAGTGAGTGAAGGCTGAGCACCAGAGACCAGCAGGATGATTACAACCTCTGTCCGTGCCTGAGTGGAAATGGGAGCATGTGATGATGGATTTTGTTGTGGGGTTACTGAGGTCGATACATAACCATGATACAGTGTGGGTGATAGTGGACTGATTGACTAAATCAGCTCATTTTCTACCCATTCGAGCTACTAATACTGTAAAGGAATTGTGTAAGATCTACATTAGAGACATAGTTAAGCTCCATGGAGTGCCGGTGTCTATTGTTTCAGATCGTGATCCTCGTTTTTCATCTCAATTTTGGAGTAGTTTTCATGCAGCTTTTGGTACTCCTTTGAGTTTGACTACTGCTTTTCATCCTCAGACCGATGGCCAGTCCGAGAGGGTCAATCAGGTTTTGGAGGATATGCTTCGTGTATGTGTTTTAGATTTTTAGGGCAATTGGGAGAATCGCATTCCACTGATTGAGTTTGCTTATAATAACAGCTACCAGGCTAGCATCGGCATAGCATAGTATGAGGCACTTTATGGTAGACTTTATCGTTCACCTGTATGTTGGGCTAAGGTTGGTGCTGGTAGTTTTTTTGGAGCCAGAATTGGTGTAAGAGACTACGGAGAAGGTTGCCATCATTCGAGATCGATTTCGCACAGCTCAGAGTCGGCAGAAGAGTTATGCAGATCGACGCCGTCGTGCTTTGGAGTTTAGTGTGGGTGACTTGGTGTTCTTGAAAGTATCACCAATGAAGGGGGTTACGAGATTTGGTAGGAAGAAAGGGAAGCTAGCTCCTCGATTTATTGGACCTTTTGAGATCACAGAGAGGATTGGGGAAGTGGCGTATAGATTGGCTTTACCACCTAGACTCTCTGCTGTTCATTATGTTTTCTATGTCTCTAGGGATAGCAAAATCCCCATACCCGGCGGGTCCCCGCCCCTATTATGGCGGGTTTGGGGACCCATTTATGTAAATGGGGAGGGGATGGGGATTGTATTTGAAACCCCGGCGGGGGACGGGGTGGGGCCGGGGGAGGGCAACCCCGCCTCGTTTATAATGCATTTTTACAATACTGTCCTTACATGTTATAAAATATTACTAAATTACATACCTATATATATATAATATATTCACTTCTAAAACACTAGATCTATTCCCTCGCAGCATAGTCATTGTTGGAAGAATGTTATTTGTTTTGATTAATCATGTTAAAAATTTCCCGATTATTCCAAAAAATGTTATATGTGATTTTGTTATAAATTTGATTGGGTTGAAATAATATGTTTTAAATTGTTATAATTGTGCTGAAGCTTTATTAAATTATTAGGCTGAAAAATATTGTAGTTGTGTTAATTTTGTTGAAGAGGAATTGGAATTTTAAAAAAGTTACGCGGGGTGGGGTGGGGCGGGGTAGGGGGCTAATGTGGCGGGGCGGGGACGGGGGAGGGGGAGGGGGTTGAAATTTAAAAGGGTATGGGGGTAAAAAATTTGACCGAGGATGGGGTGGGGATGGGGAATGAGATCCCCGCCTCACCCCGCCCCATTGCCATCCCTATATGTCTCTATGGTTAGGAGGTGCTTGAGGGATGAAACTCAGGCTGTTGACTGTACAAAGGTTCAGTTGCGCTCTAATACAACTTATGTTGAGACGCTTATTCACATTGTTGACCATATGGTTAAACAGTTGAGGCGGGCAGAGATACCTTTAGTGAAGGTGCAGTGGAATTATTAAGACGAGAGAGAGACTACTTGGGAGCTAGAGTTAGAAATGAAGGAAAAATACCCACATCTCTTTGAATAAGGTACGTAAAATTTCGACGACGAAATTTCTTTTTAGGAGGGTAGAATGTAATACCCGTTTCTTTTTATTTATTTATTTGAATATTTATTCATCTGGTTGACTTTTTAAGGTATATTTGTGATAATAGGTTACCTTTTAAAAGTTTGAAAATTTAAAAGGGATCCGAAATTATCTCACCTACCGTTATCCTTATCTTTATATAAGTTTCAATAGTCTATTGCGTAAAAGAAAGAGGGGAAAAAAATGAAAATACTGACGTTACATTATATCTGAAGTAGCTAGAAGGGGAGTCGGTGACCAGAGATTCGTGTAGAAAGGAAAGAGTAGCATTTTCCAGGCAAGTTAATCTTGCTTTATATTTTTATATATGTTTACAACTTGATTTATAAAAATCTTAGAGAATTAATCTAGAACATTCTAGCATTTTTTTTTTTGTCGATTGTTTGATGAAAATCTATGATTATTTAATATATAAACCTGATTAGTAGATTAATATGTGGTTGCTACTCACTTTTTTTGATATTTAAATAAATTATAATATGGAGTTGTAAATGTAACTGTGTTGACTCTAATTATATATACACATGGGTTCGAGTATATATATTACCACATGCACTCTATTGGGTATTTGATATATTCATTGACTATAATTCTAGATTATTCTAATTGAATGAAAGTTAATTAAAAGATATGTTTATATGGGGACTTATACGAGATTACGAACTTATTAAAAGATTGTGATTGGATTTTTTTGGGAAGTAAATTACATAAAATTTGTATGCTAACTAGTAAATATATAGGTACTTATGTTGGATTTCGTGAAAGAATTTGTGTTACGATATATTTGTGACTAGGTGTATCCATTTAGCATTAAAGTTGTTTAAATAGTGGGACTGAACTTTAAAGACTTTGCTTAATTAAATTGATTACGTTATTTAATTATTAGGAATGGATTAGACATGTTGGATTTCATGAAAGAATTTGTGTTACGATATATTTGTGACTAGGTGTATCCATTTAGTATTAAAGTTGTTTAAATAGTGGGACTGAACTATAAAGACTTTGCTAAATTAAATTGATTACGTTATTTAATTATTAGGAATAGATTAGATATCTCACTGAACCTTTAATCTTCTATTTAATTAGTTTATAAATTATTGGAAAATTTATACGTTCATGAAACACTTGGATTAAATATTTTTTTTAAGAAATTCACTATGTTCATATTATGTGTACCTATAACCGATCAATGGAAGAGGTGGATATATATATATGTATATATTTATATTTATCTATTTATTTGTTTGTGCAGTTATACAATCTGTATAAGGAAGTTTAGATGAATGTTAAACTGAATATGCTTGGTGACTAAGATTACTGGGACGAAATATCATAGCCAGAATTGGTATTATTTGTACTTCTAGTTGTATGCCTCATTATTGGTTACAGTACTGGATGAATAAGTGATAGTTAAGGTTTAAGGGTATGAGTATGATAATGAAATTTCATATTATATTATTATATCACAATTCACCATAATTAATAATTAATGGATGAGGTTGGATTAGTCAGAGGGATAGTCAGGGACTGACCCTATGATGACTTTTGGGTATGGTCAAGGACTTGCCTATTTGGGAGTGCACTACCCTTTTATTATGGCCATAGGTCTAATGAACCCTTATTGTGTGGACGTGATCAGGGATTATCTGGGGAGTAGACGTACAATCCAGCCATACGTTTGTTTTCAGTAGTCAGGGACTATACGATTCACACCACTTTATTGGATGGGAGCCCGGGGCTCATGTGATATATGTGGATTTATTAAAAGTAAACGATGGTTATTTATTGAGTTTATTTTTAACTGGGATATGCATATTTAATTAATGTACTTATAAGTTGCTTATATATATGGGAATACATGGTAAGATTAGCTTGCTTAACGATGATTGTATTTAGCATTTCTTGCTGAGCTTGTGAGCTTACCCCATTATCATATTTCAAGTGCTCGTATAGTAGGAACGTGATGGAGACACATGATGGGGACAGATTTTAGCTCGTTGCACATTTATTTATTTATACTCGGTTTTCCTTTATTATGATCATTGTAATAAAGTTGGGGTTTTGTGAGACTTTGTTTAGTTGATTTAGTGGTTATGAATGTTTTTATTATGTTAGAGGAAATTTCACCTCTATTCATTATTTATATAAATTCGTCAGACTCTAATGTTTATTAAATTGAATGATGGGATTCATCGTAGTTCTATTTATGGTGAATGTATGTTGAGTATTGGTGGAAGTTATACTTTAGATTTTATATGCAGAACAAGTAGTTCTTGTGTTAAAATTTGGGGTGTGACAATGGGATAGGGTCGGATCCTTATAATAAAGATGCATGCTTATCGAAAAAGAGAAAGTCGTTGCATAATTATTTTGCCAAAAGTTCCTTTCATTACTCTAAATGCAATTATTGTAAAAAGTTAGGACACAAAATTTACAATTGTCCATTTAGAAAGAAGACAAGGACAAAGAAGATTTGAGTTGCAAAAGGAACTTATGTGCCGTTACCTAACTTTTATGTACCCAATAAAATTTAGGTACCAAAAGAAGATTTCTTAAGCTCGTCTTGTGGGCTTGCTTGATGGCACCCTCTTCAAGGAATGTGAAGGAAGCATTACTTGGGAACAACCCCAAGGGTGAGTAATTGGTTAACCTTATAGATTCACTCCATGCTATGAATTGCTTCATTACTTACTTCCTTGGTATACTAATGATCTTTAAAGGGCTAAACGAAAATGTAACTTCAAGCCTTAGATCATCACATATGGAGAGTCATTAAATGAATTGTTCTAGACCATTGAAAATTATATTTTCCAAAAAGATAATGATTATGCTTTATATTGTTGAATTTTTGTATTATCTTCTTTATGGTACTAGTATTCATTATTTGTACAATTTCCTTTCAATGCATGCTTTTATTCATTGAAAAATAATTTTTTACATGCATTACATTCAAATGAATTTCTTGAAATTATATTTGAAGAATTACACTGAAAAGTAGAGAAAATTGCTCTAAAAAGTGTATGCCTTAAGAAGGAACTTACTTTCTGATGACTACCCGAGCGTGTGCACAAAATGATGCACAACACTTTGAGTTTGGAAATTAGTGTCAAGTGGGTATCATACTTTAAATTTTTAAACCGCTTGACACCTATACTATGTAGTATGAGTGAGAAGGGATTGTCCCAAGAGATTATACGTGTTGGAATTTAATTTCGACTCTAATGTGTCAATTGATTGCAAAGGAGGGTTGTGTTGGTTGATTACTCTAGAAAACAATTAATTAAAACGCAATTAAAATAAACTAAATTGAGTTAGAGATTTAAGAGATGAGAAGAGAGGTCTTGGGGTGCATTGGAATTGCCACCAAGCTCGTTCACCAAACCACACACTTTCAACTAATTGAGGAAAACTTTCTTGTGAACAAAATGCGACTACTAATTGCAATATTAAACATGGACCATCAAATTCAAATATATATTGCCTACCTAACCAACAATTAAACCACACATCAATCTAGTAACAATTATAGCACATATCAATCTAGAGAGTCATGGAATATCAAATCAAGTATAGATTGTCTACCTACTTACAAGAATTAATTAAATTATAGAACAACCCATCAAGCATAAGCATAATTCATCAAATTAATTGACAAACCTATCTAATAAAAACCATATCTAGTCATTACTAGATTTTCAATCAACCACACATAGACATGCAATTAATATAGAAAAACTAGTGTAGAGATCAATTCCCAAATAATCACACATAAGACAACATGTAATCACATAGAGAATCAATAGAAAGAATTAATCCATAGAAATCGAAGGAGAACCCAAGATTCATTACATTCACAAGACTAAAACACTAATCACAAGATATTATTCCCCAAAAAATATGAAATAGATAGAGGTGTAGATTACAAACTTGGGGGTCATCCAAACCTCAAGGAGAAGTCTAGCCAATCATGGAGGAGGTGGGTGTGATCTTGGAACCCTCAGGGACAATCTCTAAACATGGCTTCATCTTGTTCCTCTTCTTCTTTGTTGAATTCTAGAGAGAGAGTATGTATAGATATTGAGATGTGTTCTTGGTACCTCCACTCTTCTCTTTTCTTCTAACCCTAATATCTAACTTTTCTAGAGAGAGAAACTAACTATTACAATGTAAAAATAAAATAAAATTGAAGACAAAAGATATTTTACAAAATGATTCAATTCCCTTTAAATAGAAGGTTCTTGGAGTAGTAAACAAGTCAAAAAATAAGCCTTTAAAATATCTAATCTTGTAGCTATGTGGTAGGTGAAGTTTGGGTGCGCAGGAATAAAATAGCTCGGTGCTAGCGTATCTTCGATCGATCCAAAATTTATTTATTTATTTAATTATTATTATTAATATTATTTTTACTTTCCAGAACTTTATACTTGACTCCAAAAAGGTTGTTATGAACCATTTTTAGCCCGTTTAAACCTTATTGACCTGAAATAGACAAAAACACAAATAAGTACTAAAACATGAAAGTAAGATAGATGATTGGACTAAAATACCCTAACTTAGGTGCTAAAATGCATTACATTTGAGTACTTATCACACCCTCAAACTTAGATACTACTAGTCCCTAGCAATGAACTACAAAGAAAATAAAGAAAAAAAAACTATACAACTATGAACTAGAAAGTAATAAAAGGATAATGCCACTTTCGTAGGGAACACGATTGCATTTAGTGTATGCAACAAGCCTTTTGAACCCCTAGGTTACCCCTAGTGGACGAGTGAAGTCTCGTGATGGTTTTCAGAAATGATACTCACAATCATTGAGCTCTTTCTCACTAAAGAGGCATCAATATACAAAACAAGTATTGGGAGAAAACTAACTCAAGTACGCAATTTTTCAACCATTTCCAAGCAATTCTCCAAAATCTCAACACCAAGCAAACAAGTATGGTTCTCCATACATCAAGACAATGATCATGTAAATAAAAATAACTCTAGAATCCTTTTTAAGTGAACCGACATCAAATATGTTGCTATCTTAGCCAACTAAAGAAATGGTCACATCCGGCCTCAAGCTAGCACACAAATCTAGTACCGATCATTAAGATAAAGAATGAACATTTTATTAAAGATTTATTCAACTAGGTGCACTTATTCTTTTCACTCGATTTTATTTTATTTTATTTTATTTTTATTTTTTTAGGATCAAAGATGGAAGCATGGTGCAATGTATTGATCTATTAAGCTCTCTAGCGATTCATGAGATTAAGCATTAGGCCAATGACTCCCAAACTAGATGGTTTTAGGGCAATAGGTGTTAAAACACCCCTAAGGACTTACAAGCTCAAATTAATTAGGTTACAAATCAAAACAACCTCCATCTAATCATTTCTCACTTCTCACTTTTTGGGAGAATTGCTCACTTTTTTTTATTTGCTTTGTGCAAATTTTTTTTTTTTTTTCAATTTTTTTTTTTTCCACAATTATTAACCTAGAGTTTGGGCCCTTCACCTTTTGGCCCGAGAAAGTCAGTGCTTGATGAGGCTAGAATCCCGGCTATTTAGCGAAAAAGGGTTTGTTGTCCACCTTTGTCAAGAATGAAAACTTTCAATGCACTACTAGCTTAATTGGGATATAACCAAATCAATAATCAATAAAACATGTACCCTACAAATGAATGCTAGTGTGCGTCTGTGCTAGAGTGGAATCCTAAAGTGAATCTCAAAACAATCACAAGATCAAGATGATGTGGACCATAAATGCAAGCATGATATCAATCTTTCGAAAAAATTTACTTCTAAATGGCATCCACAAGGCATACAAGGAGTATTGGGCTCTCAAGTCAAACAATTTTTAAATTCTAAGTATTATGGTTCTCAAAAGGTTAAAATTATTGCAAAAATGGGTCTCAAATCTTAATCATGCAATTAAATCTCAAACTTAAGTAGAATGCAACAAAGTCACCTTACTCTCAAACTTAAACCGTACATTGTCCTCAATGTGCAATGAGAAAAATGAAAAAGATGGAAAGAATATACCGTAGTGGCAAAGACGTGAAACTCGGTAATGATCTATTAGGAAAGAGTGCACTCCTAAACTTGGAATCAACAACCTACTTGAATAACCACACTAGCAAACTCACATCAAATATCAAATGTGATTAAGATAAGTGAATCGAGCATTCTAAGGCAATATAGCATAAGATGAAAGAGAGATATAAAATCAAGTCCAAGATAAATCATAAAGTATGCATGACTACACAAAATGGAACAATGTTGAAAAGTTTTTATGTTTTTCATTTTATGAAAGCATGTATAGACAAAATGAAAGAAATAAAATGCAAAGATGTATAAACAAAATGAAAAAGAAAAATAAAGAAGGCAGAATAAAACTATATGCACAATGAAAGAAAAAGAAACAATATGTATTTGTTTTTTTTTTTTTGTGCTTCGATCGATCGAAATTTTCAACAATCGATCAAGATTTTCCACGATCGATCAAAAAGCTTTCAAGTGATACCCTAAGAACAAAAATTTCTGACGTGGTTGCCGATTGATCGAAATGAATTTCGATCGATCGAAAAGTCCTGGGCAGAAAAATGTTTGAAATTTTTTATTTTTATTTTTTTATGCCTAACATGTATGAAATCTTCAATGACGCTCAATGGAACATATCTAGACGCCACAAGAAGTGAAAAATAAAAAGAAATGGGAGAGGAATATAGTTGAAAACTCTACGAATGCTAGTGTTTAACGTCTTTAGCAAGATGTTAGGTTGACTCACTAGTCGAAAGTATCAAAGACCGGATATAAAACATCTTTATTGACCGTCTTTTCAATTTTCTCATTTAATGCCTCACTTACGACAATGAAATCATCCTCCAAAAGAATGACTTGAAAAGAAATAAAAGGGATGATTTCATTCATTTCATCCACGGTCTTGAAAACAAAATCAATCATGGTTGGCATTGCCTCATTTTTGTGCTCTTAAAGTGTATTCAATGAATCACTCCATTTGTGAATTTTCAAGGCAATGTCTTTCAAAGACTCATTTGGAATATCAAGAAATACCTTCTCTTTATCCTTTTTTTCTTCCTAAAAAATCACCATCTCCTCACCTTCTAAGTTAGCTAAGGAGTCCATTAGAGAGTTTATTTTATTTTTGGAGCTTCCAAGGTCAAAACCATAATTTTTATACATTTCAAAAAGGCATGTCTCAAGAGGGTCTTTGGAGATAATAGAAGGAAGACTCTCTTCAACAAGTTCCTCCTCCTCCTCTCCTACCTCTATAGTGGTCAACATCTCCTCACTTTCTAAAGTATCAAAGGTCAGAATCAAATCATGATCAAAATAAGAAAAATCCTCATAAGTCATGTTGTGCTCTATTGGACTAGCCATTGGTTGACTTAATTCCTTAAATTGCTCACTTACTACTTCTTCCTCTTCACTCTCATCATCCTTATCTATATGAATTGAAGTTCTTGCCATTTTTTCATTTGCCTCTTCCTCCTTCTTTTGACGAGAAATAATACTTGTAATTTGCTCAACTTGAGCTTCAAGCTTGGTTAAGATTTGAGAATGAGAATTAATATCTTGAGTTTATGAATTAAGCACATCAAGTAGAGCTAACATTTTTTCTT